AGTGAATATTTGTGTGCTTTCCTCTGCCATCCCACCTGAAGTCCTAGCATTTATGACCAATTGGTGCTAGTTGGTTCTTCTGAAGGAACTGCTGCGTAGCCAGCCCTTGAGCTGAGGCTTATGATATATCAGATAAGAGATAATAGTGCTGTAGACAGAAGAAAGGAGGAGTTTAATGGAGAGTTTATTTTAACTATTTTGTATAGTTTTTTTATAGTTTTTGATCCTTGGGACTGGGACTTTTTCCATTTGTTCAAAATCCAGTCTCCTCCAGCAGAACTAGTGTCTTTTGGAGTGATGTTAGAATACAAGTGGTCAAACTGCTTAATATTTTACTAATTATTAAGGTATTATTCAAATACACTTTTTTTTTTTTAATCCAATTGCAAAGCCAGCCTCTATCAGGTGTAACTGACATTTCTTTTGGAAGAATTGAAATGAAAATCAACAAAATTCATACTAATGTTCAAGTTTTCAGATGATCTCTTGGAGCTCACCTTCCTTCAGTCCTCTCCCTTTTGCCCTTTTTCTGAGTCAGGTTCAACAGGTCTGCCCTATGCAGAGTTGCCTTTTAACATAAAGGATGTTAATAGAACGTCCCCTCTGGACTCTCTGGTCAGAAGAATTATATAGTGGAAGTAAACTTAGGCATCTGGATATGAAAATCTGTACAAGAATAGTCATCATTTTAAATCAACTTAATCTTTTGATGCATTTCTTCTCTAGATGTACCTCACAAGGATGCTCATGGCTGTTTCTTGTTAGTAATCCTCAAGTTACGCAAGCATCAATGTACATCAGTTGAAACCCTACATCTTACATAAATGAAACTCACACATTCTATATCATATGTAGACAAAATTATATCAGAACCATATCATTTCCTATGTGGTACCTTTTTTAAATACAACTAAGCAATCCTAGTTACTCAAATTCACCAAATATATTTAAAATCATATTAAAGAAAGACTTGAGAGATTACAGTTGCCTGTTGATGAACACTGACTTGAACTCAGGTGTTAAAATTATAAGCAAAACCTTTCTTCTGCACCCAAGAAGAAATCAGGCCTCAAACCATACAGCAAATAACAAACAAATCCTCTTGAGCTCTGTGAGTCAGCCCGAGAACTTTGAGGAAAGAACCATGGTTTGGTTCTGTAAAGATCTCAGCATAATGTGGTGCTAGGAGTTACTGTAAAATAGATATATATATATATAAAGGACCTATCTGGAGAAGACTAATTCTCCATCAATGGGACTTATTTTCATTCTGAGCTGGAAAGAAAAACAAATATCACCAAACTCTGTGGCTAAAGAAAATCTCTGAGATCTCTCTGTACTGCCCTGCATGGTCCCCACGCAATGTTGTGGCGTGTCAAGCTGGGAGCTGGCAGCACGCGTGTCCTCAGGCTCTTGGCTCCTGTAGGCTGTGAGGAGGGCTGTGAGGAGGCCCAGCAGACCAGCTGGCAGGAGACCAAGCGGCAGCCTTGTTCTGCACTAGGTCTTTGGTGAGCCCTGCTGTATATTTTGATTTTGGTGAATGAGGGAGGGTTCCCTGAGGGAAAGCATTTCATCAGAAAATTTCTGGTTTATTCTAATGAACAATTTAAACAAGAACCATTCACATTCTTTGCCTGTGTAAACAGTTAAATGTATGGAGCTGAACAGTTTTCTGTTAAAATCCCTTAAAAAATCTTAATCCCTTAAGATCTTATTCCAGTTTCTAAATGATGCTACTAGTTGAAGGGGAATGATCATGTCCAGTGACTAGAGACCTCCGTGCATCCTAAAAATATCTTTCCTCCTTTAATTTCCTGCTTTTCTATTTTTAAACAGTCCTGTGCCACATGTTCTAGATGTCCTGCTTGAGCAGGTGGATTGGTCTAGATGATCTCTGGAGGTCCCTTCCAACCTCAACTATTCTGTGATTCTGTGAAACAATACTTACAAACAAAGAAGAAACAATTTACTCAGCTTCCATACCCAGTTCAGAAGTCCTGCCTTGAATTATCTTTGCCAAGTAGTTGCAAGAGCTCTATGGCATCCAGGATCCTTAATCTTGTGTGCAAAACAGAAAGTCCTAACCCTCAATACCTATTCTGCTTCTAGGGATATATAGTGACCAACCGAAAATGAAATAGGACATGGAGACAGCACATGTAGGTGTTATCATATGAGCATTCATATACTCTGTGTATCACTGGAATTCTGTCTTGAAATCTCAGTCAGTAATTCTAAGAAAAATGCTGTGGCTTGAGCTTTTACACCGGAAGTCAAAACATAGCCATGCAACAAGGTCGTGTTTCTTTTCAGTGGCTCCGGATGAAATATCTGGTGGCAGCTGATGTGGCACACATGAGCATCAGTGACATGAAGCGTTTGAATGTAATAATCAGACTTGCATTCAAATGCAAACCCTCATTGATGGTTTTCCTTTTAGCTGGTTTTGCAGCATTTTGGACAGTGCACTTCAATTCTCCTAATTAAATTGAAGGCTAAATGGCAATGCAGACTTTGTTGTGTGCTACTATTAATAGAGAGAATTCCTGTGGTGCAGCTCAGCCAAAAGTCCAGTAGATGTCAATCCAAGTTCAAGCTTCTGATTCTACCTTTGGTTGCTAATTAACTGTCAGCATGTTTTATTCCAGTCTATTGCTAATGACTGAGGGATGTTCTGTGCCTTCCACTTGTACAGATGTTACTGAGGGCACACAGTGAGTTTCCTCATTCCCTGCAAATGCACTATTGAAAATGAGAGGCAGATATCTCATTTTGCAGATCAACACAGGAAGGGAAAACTTCTTCTATGGCTTCCCAAGTACTATCCAGATAGTACATTGAAGAAGCAGAACTAAAGTGCTGGCTTCTCATGCTGCATTAGACCAGCTACACTGGTGAGACACTGGTGAGCAGAACAACACTGAGGATGACACTACAAAACATTAAAACTCTTGTTAAAACCAGCCTCTGCCTTGTGTTCAAAGCAGAGGTCCAAGAGTAAATTCCAGATGAAAGCGGGATACGGATTTTTCAAATAGGAATAATAAGCTCCTGGAAAATGTCAAAATGTGTATTGCTCTATACCAGATACCAGTAGTCAAAAAAACAAAGAAGGTTTCAAAAAATACCTTTGGAAAAGGAGCGTATCCTTTCCTCTCCCCAAACTCACATGAGGCTGCAATCAGAGCATTAGGAGGTTTCTATATAAAGATGAGACAGTGCTCAACTAATGAGCACCTGCACCCGCAGACCCCACAAACAATCCTTTGCCTGTAAACAGAAGAAGCACCCTGCGCGAGTGAGGTCTGAGTAACCCACACAGACAACTTTGGCAGAAACAGCAGCAGGTTCAGCACAAAGGACAAGTGTGTGGACAGTCAAACGTCAACTTCTGCACCCTGTCCCCCCCCAATAATAATAATAATAATAATAATAATAATAAAAAGACACCTTGCACATATTGGGGGGTGGGGGGCATTTCCATTTTGGCACCAATATTGGCTCTGTTTTCAAATGGAAAGAGAGAAAAATGCTTATCCTTGTGGCTTTCCCAGGGAAAAAGAGTGCAAACAGGGTGAGAGATTCTATAGCAAAAGATTTGACCTTGAGCCTGGAGGACAGCCTGTTTACAGGATGAGTGGAGGTAAACAGGTGAAGACAAATCCTATCCCCTCCTCCAAAATCAGACTTTGCTCTGGATCAGAATGAAGGATGCTTTTCTTTTTAAAGCACATGCTCTTTGGGAATGGCTGTTAGTGCTGTCTATCAAGCTCACTACTGAGCAACAGAGAGTAAGCAGATATTCAGACTGCTGAATAACGTAACTCCTTTTGCTAAATGCACACTGGTTTGATGCATATTCGGTATTTATCAGGAGCTAGCATGCCATTACAGAATCAAAATAGCAATATCAGTCCTTTAAAAGAAAAAGAGACTTCTAAATTTGTGTCTTCAGCCTCCTTGGCAGTGTACAAAGCTTGCAGATGACAGCCCTGCTGTAAGTAAATCCCTTCTAAAAACATGAATGAGAGACCCTTAGGGCAGAGCTCTGTGTATTAGTGCGCCACTCTTTGCATGAGAATATCACTGGTGTAAATAAAAGAGAAAGAAATGCGAATGGCCGTGATAAGCAGATTCTTGGGCGTAATGAGCTCCCTGGTGGTCACACGGCATGCGTGTTCATTCATAAATACGGGGTTTATGAAGACCAGTATATTCCCATTCCACAAAATGAAATGGAAAGCTCTGCAGGAATGGGAAAGAGCTGGTGGGGATGGAGACGCCTCAGGAGTGGGGTGTATGTGAGAAGGTGCTTATGAGTTCTTGGGGTGTGCGCGGGTGTGTGTGAGAGGGTGTGTGTGCAAGTGTATGTGTGTGGGGGTGGGAGGATGTGTGTGTGTCTGACTGTGCATGTGAGTGTGAGCGTGCCTGTGTGTGAACGTGTTCGAGAAAGCGTGTGTGCTTACACGGAGCTGTGTTGGCGCCATCCTCACAGACACGTTTTCTTACAGCCCGGTGTATATTAGCCGAGCGGCGCCGGGAGGGAGGCAGGGGGAGTTAACCCCCATCCCGGGCCGCCTGCCCGTTCCCAGGAGCCGGAGCGATGGCGGAGCGGGGAGCGAGGCAGGGGCAGAGGGAGCGGGGGGCAGCGGCTGGGGGCGGCTGCTCCGCCCTCCGCCTCCAGCGAAACTTTCATTCACCAGCAAGAAGGACCCTCCTCCCGCTCACACATAGCGCATTTATTGCTCCTGGAGCGGGGGGAACCGGGGCAGCCCCGCGGGCAGCAGCGCGGGGGCGAGGCGGCCTCGCCAGTAGCGTTCAGCACCTCTCCCGGTGGACAGGGACGGGAGGCGGTGGCAACGGGCAGGGTCTCCCGACGCCCTGAGGGCGCCCGGGGCTCCTGTCCCGCTCCCGGGGCGCCCCGCTGTAACCGGGAGCTTGCGGTGCGGGACGTGTCCCGGGCGGGTGGCTCCGGGCGGGCTGCGGGGCGCGGGGCTCACCCAGGACGTTGCCGACGAGCGCCACGATGAAGACGACGATGTAGCCGGCGATGAGCGCCCACTCGTACTCCTTGGGATGCAGATACTCCTTCCAGAGGTAGCGCACGAACTCCTCGTCGTCGTAGTCAGCGGGAGCGCTGAGAAGCGCCTCGCGCGTCCCGTTGAGCTCCGGTGAGGAGGAGGAAGAGGAGGAGGAGGAGGACGCGTTCGCGCAGGGCGCGAGGCGCGGGCCGGACATGCCTGGCGGCGGTGCGGCTCGCGCG